ATCTTTATTACCCAAACAGTTACCAGCTCCATCATGAACATGCATCCATATAGTTTCAGTATTTTTAAATGCATTTTTGATTTATTTGAACCTATGCTATTAGCTATGCAAGCGGCCTCAATGCAATAATTCAAACCCTTCAGGCTTTGTGAAACAAAATCTCCAAGTAAAGCTCCACTGAAAATTCTGATTTAATACTACAGTCCTTGTCAAATCCTGCAAAAGAGCTCACCTGGCACAATGAGGGGCTAGTCCACTTCCTGCTAACTCCCAAACCAAGGAGGACATCGAGGACACTGAGGACACTGGTCAAAGCAGCTGAGTTTTCACTGCACTTGCCCTAAAGCTGGTCAGAGAGGAGTTGTCTACCAATCTAGAGTCATTTTAGGCAAGAAGTCTAATCCTTATTTCCTGTTTTATTTCTTGCACCATCGCTGGGAACTGCACCTCGGGTTTCTAGCTCCAAAGGGCAGAGCTCCAGCTCTTCAGTTAAGAGACTAAATCCAACAAGTAGATGTGGTAACAGGACAATATGCTCCTGTGAAGGGTGGCTTTAGCATGCTTGGCTAATGCTTGAATTCATGGCTTATTTTTGGAAGGAGAGAAAACAGATTTTCAGCATTGCAGAAACAAATTCAGTAACACATACCTAAAGGGAAAATGTTGTTCCTTAAGACAGTTAAGCAATTTTGAGATTCCCACTGCAAGGTGCCCAGCTTAAAAACCCCAGGCTGATAGTGTTGATTTCAGGTAAATGGAAGAGAAGGCTGCTTTCAAATTACAATTAATTTTGAAAACTTCAGCTACAAGATACCAGTATGGGAAGGCTCTGCAAACAGTAAATACTAGTATTATTTCAGAGTACGAGTCAAAATGCCAGGCACAGAGGCATTCTCTCAGAGAGTTGAAGTATGTGTGGTCCCTGGTACAACATTTGTTTATTACATTTCAGTGGTACCCGCTGAGCTCTGCGCCAGCAGCCACTGGCTGTATTCATCTTAACAGTAAGACCATGTAATTCAAAGGCCTCTAACATGAGCTTTTCTGCATGCATTTGATCAGAACATGAAGCAATGGCTAGAATGCATTTCAGGCTAAAGAAAAAGAGAAAAAGGAGAAGCAGCACTTAGGATTCATATGTCTGCAGTATTTCTATCATAGCGCTTAAGACACCACGGCCTTTTCAAATGGCTTCTTAACACTGATGTGACAATGAAAGCCTGCACAGAAGGGAATCAGAAAAGCTTTATTTCCAGAGCTCACTGGCCATATTATCTTCTGTCTAGCAGTGATGTAAATGAAGAGGATTGCCAGAGTTGGCAGATTGAAGGTATGAAACAAGCACAGAGGCAGGGGACTGATTTTATTTCAAAGCGTCTTCATTTCACTCCGCCCTTTTGCCTTCCTCCTCTGCTGATTGCCTTGGAGCAGCAGGGAGGGTTGCAAGTGAAATTATCCCTGAAGAAGGACCATTATCAGCTCTTCTGTCTGGCTGGGGAAAAGAGCAGTGCTTGCAGTGTCAGCTCCCTCACAGGGGAAGACGAACAAGGAGCACGGCTGAGCTCTGAGCGCACACGCACAATGATGCACGGATACTCCCAGTACGACAGTGCATTTATATCAACCTGCTGGAGTCCACTCTGGCATCGGCAAAAACCCGGCAAGCGTTGTATGTTGGGCTCTTCTCTGAAGGTGGGCCCTTGTTCTTTCAGGCATGTAGACACTTTGGGGGAGATTTTGTCTCCTACTGACGGTTGGAAACAACGCTAGCGATGCCAAAACACCAAACTGTGGTTTAGGCTTTAGGACCTGCTGGAGTTATAAAGTGTCTGATTCTGACATTCATGGCAGTTCACAGCCTTGTGTCCCCAAAATATTCTATGCCAGGGAGCACTACTGCGGTGGTGACAGTGAAACAGTCCTAACAATTCCTGGGGCATAAGCTACCCTCCAGTCCTGCCAGTCATGGCTAAACATGGCACACAGGCTGATGCATCTACCCAGGTCTCACCTGATCACATCTTTACACAGACTTTCCTCAATCATTACTAGTACGGACTTTGTTGAGCTTGACACAGAAGGTTTCGTTGGTTTACATTCACAGATTGATGCAGCCTCTCTAACAGACCTTCTCCCTCTCCCGCAAAGGTTTTCAGATAAGCATTAAAACCCACTCATTCTTTTCAAGATATTCTGACATGAAAAGTCCCAGAGGGTTTTTCTTGACATCTCTTGCACTTTGGATATTCTTGGTAATTCCAAGCAATGTGTACTTACTTGGTTCCAATGGACTTAGCCAAGATTTGCATTTGGTAGGAGGCACCTGAGGCTTCAGGCAATTTAATACATTCATGTAAAATAAACAGTGTGTGTATATATATATATATATGCTGGATTGAAAAAGCATGACTCACAGTCTATGCAGAAAAGTACCAAAGACTTTGTAATGCACTGAGCATCATTTGCAGCGGTGGAAAAAAAGCAAGGCTGGGCCCAGCAAGCACCCATGCTGCCTAGCAGATTATGAAAAGTGACATGTGAGCCAAATTTGAGAAGCATATATCTTATTTAATGATACTCTACACTGATTTCCATTCTAGGGTTATAATTCAATGTTCATTTCTCCAAGTCCTTTCTGCACCAGTACAAATAACTCAATTCTTTCATAAACTACCAGTGCAGTACATTCCCTTTCTCCTACCTCTTGACAGGATAGTAATAAGGTTCCACATTTGAGTGATTTCATTTGAAGGCTTTATAGATATATACATCTATGTGTGTGCATGTATGTAATACATGCACGCACGCACACATGGACAGCTATTTAATTTTAGGCTATTTTAAATGGTGATTTCTGTACCTGAATTGTTTGTTGCCCAAAGCCTTAACACCTTTGTTAAACCATTTTAGCCATTTGTTGGCTTTCTGTATAACGGTGTTTAGATTTTCACCTATGTAAGTTGTGAAGAGAGAAATGGTTTGGATCAGCTAATTTAACCATATTTCACAGGAGCCATGAATAGTACTGAGATGAAATCCAGTTTCTTGGTGAAGGAGACTTAAGTTTATTAAATTAAATACAGTCCAACTGGACTCTGCTCCATTCCAAGTAAGGAAAAATAAAGTAAAATTTGGGTGGCTATCTTAATGAAGCTGCCTTTGTACATAGCTCGCAATAATCATTGAAATAATGCTGTTTATCAGGTTTATCAAGCAC